AGTTCATCTGAGAAAAATGAAGTGTTTGAAAACTTCATTTTTTCTCCCTTTATATAGATGCTGTTTATTGACCCAGTGGTGAGAATTTTTGTTTTCTTTAGATTGAGGTGCAACCCATATCTTAACTTGGTTTAATTTCAATGACTACAATCTCCTCCATGTCACAAATTATCACACTTCCTCCCTGTGGTTCTTAGTTTTCATTCAACCCTTCTTCCCAACCCTTCTAAACTTTGTCTTTAGGTAAATGCTGCCCCTTTGATCTTGAATGGTTGACCATTCCATGGTGAAAATACTATACTAGTGTTGTGCTCTCTATATACCTATCATGTGGCTGAATATTGGGCTAGGAGTCTCAGGTTCCAGACCTGAAGGGTGACCTTAAAGCCAGGAGACTCGGATTTCTCTAGTCTCTTTCTGACCAATCTTACCTTTTATATATATGTAGGTGTATATGTGTATATATGTATATAAGGAGCTCTGGTACTGTAGTGGTTGGCAGTTTGAAATTAGCAGTCATTCCACAGGAGAAAGATGAGGCTTTTGCTCCTGTAAAGATTTACAGCCTCGGAAACCATGTGCAGGGTCACTCTAAGTCGAAACCAACTCCACGGTACTAACAACAACAACATACGTGTGTATGTGTGTGTGTGTATATATATATATATATATATATATATATATAAATTTTTTTTCTTCTATCCAGAACCTTTTAATGTGATTTCTTTTAGAGCAGTTGGTAGTGATAGCTGGTCTCAGAGCTGTAGAGACTGATGTTTACGTGTTCCATTAGTCCACTGTCACTGGACTAATTCCATTCAAATTATCTTAAATTTTCATCACTCTTCTTTCTTCCACCCATGGAGAGACCAATTGCACCTTAGATGGATGCTTATGAGTTTCTAAGATCTCAGTCACTACTCACCAAAGTAGGATGTAGAACATTATGTTTGTTGGCTATGTTATGCCAATTGACTTCAGTATTCTCTGGGACTATGGTCCTGAGTCCCCAGGCCCAGCAACTCATTAAATGGCTTATATTTTTACAAAATAATTTTTCCTTTAACTAGCATAGTTCCAACTATAGAATGTTACTGAGATTTTACCCTCTTAGTGACCTGTACAGCCAAAAAGATTTTAATCTCCAATCATGAAATAACACTGTAAGATGCTGAATTACCATGTTAGTTTCTCTTTAGCTCTTGAGAAGAAATAACTTCATTTTGCTTTTTTCAGAGATTCTGATATCCACAATCCACTTAGAAGATCAACCAGAATATGGGATATAAACTTAATGGGTAAGCTTAAAATGCCATTATGACACAAACCCAACATTTACTTATATTATTGTATGAAAAATGGAAGATTAAAATAATTTATAAAGAAATCAAGTATAAATGGCAGTCAGCTTTGATAAAGGCCATACACAAAAAGTTCCTTGATAAATAAAATGAATCAATTATACCTACATAATCATGATGCAAAAAGTCCCATTAAAGAAAGTTATTATATAATGAAAAAAAGAAAGCCTCAGGTATACACTAAAATGTAAGAAATAATTGGTCAGGGCAAGTTCAAGGAAAATCTACATATAGCCAGGAACATGGTGAACAATCTATTCATTAACATTGCAGAAGCCTAGACATCGGAGTATTTGTACAGCATGAGGTAAAGTTGCTGTTAAAGTGTTGTCGAGACCTGGTAGCTATATTAGCTTACACTGAAAATTAGTTCCTCTGTTTAACCCCACCTTCTTTATATAGACACTGCTCACTTTATCTTTGAAGTGGATACTCTACATAGACTATCCCTCACAGAAACCATGATTATATAATGAAAACTGATGTTGCATTGTGTATACGCTAACTTCACAATGGTGGTGGTGATGGTTGTATGCCTATGAGTTGATTCTGACTCATAGTGATCCTGTATAGCAAGGGTGGGGAAGATCCAGCCCACAGACCATATACAGGCCTATGAAGTCATTTGGTCTGGCCCTGCCAAGGCAACCGCAGGTCCAACCATCACATTGTTGATAAGTGACGTCCTGTTGGTTCTAACTCACAATGACCCTGTACAGGGTTTTCAAGGAGTGGTTAGTTAGCTAGAACTGCCAACCTTACGGTTCAAACCTTGTAGTCCAGTACATTAACAACACAGTACCATACCAGGACTCCCAGCCACCACATTAGGGGTGAATTAGTTAAAGGTTTGATCAAATATAGCTGGCTAATTTTTAAGTTTGTTATAAATTTTGACAGAAAAAAAGGTTCCCCACCCTTGCTGTACAGAATTTACAAATTTGCAAATCTTTATGGGAGCAGAAAACCTCATTTTTCTCCCATGGAGCAGCTGGTAGAATCGAACTGCTGACCTTGAGGTTAGCAGTTCCACTTATAACTCACTATGTTACCAGAGTTCTTTAACATCACAATACTAAAAGGTTTTTTTTTTATAAATGAAAGTTAAAGAATATTTTATAATTTAAAGCAAAAAAATCTAATAAAATACAAAGATCTTAGGATTTTGTTATGTTTCCTCATTCTCTTTTTTCACTCTTATCTATATAAAATGGGAGCATAATTGTCAATATTTTGTTAATTTTTCCTATAAGTCAAAACATATATATTAACAATTTACCTGGCTCTTGGCAGCATTTCCAATGGCTCGAGTTCTGGATCCCAAAGATATACAGGCTCTAAATAAAGAAAAAAAATATACATTTGTTCCAATGGTATTTTTATGTTAATGTGCTATTATTTTGCTCCTTCATATAAAAATTTAGATACTCATAGACCAAGCCTTCTGCCATTGAGTTGATTCCAACACTTAGAAACTCACATTGGGTTTCTAGGACTGTAAATCTTTACAGGAGCAGAGAGCCTCACCTTTCTACCACGGAGAGCCTGGTGGGTTTTAACTGCTGTCCTTTAGGTAGCAATCTAATGCACATACCACTGCATCACAGGTTTCCTTATATAATCATATTATTATTGTTTTTAAGTGTCTTCGAGTTGGTTTCTACTCATCAAAACCGTGTATAAAATTTCTGAGGAGCAGCTAGTGGGTTTGAACAACTGACCTTACAGTTAGTAGCCCAGTGCTTATCCTGTAGTGTCACACCAGGACTCTAGCTATACATTATTTTAAAAACCTAGTCATTCTGACTCAAGGTAACTCATTGTGTTGTAGAGTAGAAGTGTGTGATTTACAGGGTTTTCATGGCTGTGACCTTTGAGAAGCAGATTGCTACACCTTTCTTCTGGGGTACCTGTCTGTTTGAACCACAACCTTTTCAATAAATAACTGTGGGCTTAGCCATTTGTGCTACCCAGAACCCAAGGACTCCATATTTTTTAAATGTTGTTAAGTGCCGTTGAGTCGGTTGTGACTCAGCAAACACTCATATACAGGAAACCCTCTACAGAGTTTCCAAGGAGCGGATGGTAGGTTTGAACCTCCAATTTGGTGGTAAGCAGTCAAGTGATTATCCTACAGTGCTGTACCAGGACTCCAGTTTTAAAAATAGATCACTAAAAATTAGAATTTTACTTCATTTTAAACTTTCCTAATTACTGAAATGATGAAATTTTAAATGGTATAGCTGGCAATGCTATGTTGGTCTTTGTGGTGTAGTTAATTATCTTTGTGGTGTAGTTATGTCTTCTAGCCATAGTCTGTAACTCCCACCAAACAACCTTTCTGTCCTGCTGGGGCTGGATAAGAGAAGGTGGCAGAAGACACTGTTAGCAGAGTTAATTGTAACTGTAAAATCATTAAACTCTAGCATGGATTTAAAATGAGTCATCTTAGAAGTAGGAGGGAGGAGTCTCACTACCACCTTAGAAGAAGAGTCAGGAATGGCATGTGTCATTTGGACCCCAAGATCCCTACACACTGAACCTCCTCAACCCAACAGAGGAATAGCAAAGGAGCAGCAGCAGCAGAACCAAGAACCAGAGGCCAAGACAGAGCAATGGACTGGCTTCCAGGCCACAGAGCAAATAAAGCTGAGTGACTTTGGACAGGAAGCTTGCTTGTAGAGTGGGGTGCCTCCAGGCACTTAAATAGGAGGAGCTAACTTCACTTACCCACAATGTTAGAGCTGAATGCCTTCAGGCTGAGGCTTATAGTAAGTGGTAAGTCCTATGAGCACTTAACAGCAGCTGACTGGAACAACTGTGCCCTGCACATTTCTGACCCCAAAATTGTAACCTATTAATTTCCTTAATAAATCCCATAACTGTGAGTATGGTGTCTGAGTTCTGTGTGGTCATTATCGAATCCAAATGAGGAGTATCCCAGAGGGTTGTTGGGGGAATGGTTGTTGCTTTCAGTTTTAGCAGTTCCCAAATTGTTATTCAAATTCTATTGGTCCACAATCCACCAAAAACAATAATTGCATTCAGTAAAATCAGATGTTGTTATTTGGTGCCATGAAGTCAGTACCGACTCATAGAGACCCTATGCATAACAGAACAAAACACTGCCCAGTCCAGCACCAACCTCACAATTGTTGCTATGCCTGAGCCCATTGCTGCTGCCACTGTACCAATCCATCTTGCTGGGGGTCTTCCTCTTTTTCTCCGACCTTCCACTTTATCAAACATGATATCCTTCTCCAGAGACTGGTCCCTCCTGATAGTATGTCCGAAATATGAGAGGTGAAGTCTGGCCATCTTGACTTCCGAGGAGCATTCTGGTTGTACTTCTTCCAACACAGATCTGTTTGTTCTTTTGGTAGTCCATGATAATTTCAGTATTCTCCTCCAACAACATAACTCAAATGCATCAATTCTTCTACAGTCTTCCTTATTCACTGTCCAGCTTTCGCATACATATGAGGTTACTGAAAATATCATGGCTTGGGTCAGGTGCACCTTAGTCTTCAAACTGACATCTTTGCTCTTTAACACTTTAAAGAGATCTTGTGCAGCAAATTTGCCTAATGTAATACCTCGTTTAATTTCCTGACTGCTGATTTCATTAGTGCTGATGGTTGATCTGAGCAAAATGAAGTCTTTGACAACTTTAATCTTTTCTCCATTTACATGGATGTTGTTTATTGGTCCAGTGATGAGGATTTTTGTTTTCTTTACATTAAGATGCAACCATACTGAAGGCCATGCCCTTTGATCTTCATCAGTAAGTATTTTAAGTCCTCTTCACTTTCAGCAAGCATACTGCAGATTATTAAGTCTATTAATAAAAACATAGCTAATAATTAATGCCATGTTTTTCTTCATATAATACATCTTCTTGGATTATTTGCTCAGTATACAAACTGAATAACTATGGTGAAAGAATATAACTCTGGTGCACACCTTTGCTAATTTAAACCATTCAGTGTTGCCTTGTTCTGTCTAAACCACTGTCTCTTGGTCTATGTACAGGTTCCTCATGATAAGTATTCTGGAATACTCATACTTGGCAATATTGTCCATAACTTGTCATGATCTGAACAATCGAAAGCCTTTTCATAGTCAATAAAGCACAGGTAACCACCTTTCTGGTTGGGTTTAAATCTAACATTCATGGATGGTTGGGTTTTGGCTCTGCAATTCACAGCTGAATAGCCTTGTAGAAATTATGCAAGCATTATGTACCTCACTTTTCCATTGAGAGATAGTGATTATAATACATTATTATTTATAATATAGATTATAATTAAGTATATACACTTAAATGAGTAAATATTGGTAAGAGCTTTGACAAATACCTAGCACATAATAGTCATTATATAAGTGATTACCATTTTTATTATTGTTTTTAACTATAATTCTGCTTATATAAGTACAGAATAACATTTTTATAAATATATCATTTCATGTTTTGAGCAAGAAAATGTTTCTGTTTCTTCCAGCAAGATGGTGGACTAGGCACACACACTACATGGACCCTCTACAACAAAGATATGAGAGACCAAATAAAGCAGACACAGAAAATTCTGGCACCCTGAACTTCAGAAGTGGATGCAGTGCTTTTTTGGAGGAGAAGCTGAGAAGGGACAGCGAGAGAGGGAGACTGACTGGTGAACGGCTGACCAGATATGGCTCAATCATCTTGTGAGCAGCTTTGATAATAGAAGGAAGCTTATCAGAGCAGATTCACTCAGGCCTTGGGCAAGGGGCAATTCCTTCTTTTTCCCCACACTACTGGGTGACCAGAGGTGTAGCTAGTTCCCATCCTCATCTACCCCCAATACAAGCCCTGCTCTCCAGGAGTTTGGAGCCATACCCATGTGAGGTGGGAGTTGGCTGTACCACTCTGGTGCCTGAATTCAGGATGGCTTGGTTATAGGCCTACAAAATCTGAAGAGCCACCAGACTGACATTTAACTAGTCACTCTGCCCCCAGCTCCCCTTGTGGTCCTAAAAGACATTGAAAGCAGCTCCATCAAGAGCCCCCACAAACTATTTCCAGATTGAGAGTCCTATATACAGATAACACAGAGTCCAATAAGAACTCCATGGAGAGCTAGGAACTCAGCTGTCAGTCACATCCCTTTCACAACCACCTCATGAGCTCCTTTCACAAACACCTCAGGAGTTCCACAGAGATTGCTCCTTTCTAGGTCCAACAGCAATGCCCCACGGACAACAGCCAATTTGAACTCTCATTAAGAAACAAGAGAGAATGGCTCAAACAAATGACCAAGATGCAGAGACAGAAAACATTTCTGAGGAAAAAAAGTAATGGAACTGCAATTCAAAAGAATGCTATTAAGGTACCTTCAACATAGTGACAGAAAGATTAAGGAAAACAAGGATAACACAAAAGCACTTTAGAAGAATTCAGCAAAATGATACCATAACAAATAGACAAAATAAATGCAAAATTTGAAACAATAGAAACCCTTCAATCAGAAATCTAAAAGATTAGTACTAAGATTTCAGAAATGGACAATACATTGAAAGGGAAAAGGAGAAGATCTGAAGCAATGAAAGCCCAAATTAATGAGCTGGAAAATAAATCTCTCAATACTAGTATGCTAGAAGAACAATCAGAAAAATGAATGAAAGAATCCAAAGACAGTTTTGAGTGGAATTCAAAACAGGAAGAGATAATAAAAAGCCCAGAAATAATAAAAACACAGAAAAAACTGTCTAAGAGTTGATGGAAGAAAACTTTCATAACATAATTATAGATGAGAAGATAAGCATACAAGAAGCTGAATGAACCCCAAACAAGATAGATCCCAAAAGAAAATCACCTAGACATATCATAATCAAACTTTCCAAATCAAAGACAAGGAAAGAATCCTGAGAGCAGCTCAGGAAAAATGAAAAGTTACATACAAAGGAGAACCAATAAAACTAAGCTCTGATTTCTCTGGAGAAACCATGCAGGCAAGAAGGCAATGGGATAGCATACATAAAACTCTGAAAGAAAAAAACTGCCAACCATGAAGCAAATCTGTTCCTCAAATATGATGGTGAAATTAGAACATCTCTTCGTAAACAGAAATTTAAGGAGTTTGTAATAACCAGACTAACTGCAAAATGTGCAAAAGGGTGTTCTTTGGGCTAAGAACCAACAACGGCAGATAACAACCTGAGATTACCATACATGATAACACCACCCACAACTCAATCCAGATACAGAATTATTTAAAGTAAAACAAATCTACAAAACTGAAAAAGAGGAACCAGAGATATCAATGTATAATGAAGTCAATCATAAAGCAAAAATAAGGAA